AAAAAAAAAAAAAAAAAAAAGTGTAACTTATCGCATTCTGAAAGCAGTATTCTGAATCAGTAAATATCAGAGATCAACAAAAGCTACGTTCTTTTAAGGTAATGCCTTTTCATATTAAAAAAGGATCACATTTCCATGTGAAGTAAGTTAATAAAAATAAAATAAAAAAAAAACCGACCGACTTACAAAAAACACGTTGGCATCAAATTCCCGTGTGTGAATATCACACATTGTTTGATAGCAGTTACATATGTACTTGATCATTTAACGATATAATCTGTGTTCACCTGGTTAAATCTTATAGTACATTTGTATCTCTAGACTTGGGAAATTAAATAAACTGGAACCTTTGAAAAAGAAGAAAAACAATACTAAGTACAGTCATTATCAGAGAGCCTATAACCACACGTAATACATGTACAGTCACCGACACATAATACAAGTGTTGCAAAATGTAAATTCATATGTTCAACAATACATGTACGTTTTTTTATTATAATACCGGTACACGCATAAACTTTCTTACATGCACATTCCCACCTAAAGCGCGTATACTGAAGGACAGTTCAAAATGATATAATAATACTTCGTTAAAAACCATGATCAATTGATAAACAACTTACCTTTGAGCACCATAAGTCTTGTAATATCAGCTTTGTGTTCGATGTGTAAAATTGTCCTATCTGCTATCTTCACTGGAGGGACTTGTTGTAAAAAGATAATATTTGGCACAACTGTAAGGAGAAAATTCCAATATTCCCCCGTTGGCATAAAATCTCCGTGTATGAATATCACACATGGTTTCTGTATCTTGAAGGAGCTGTAAACACTCAGAAAATGGTAAAACCTCATGGGCCGCATACCATACCAAACGTAATGAATGACGTTGGGTACGGGTAGTTTGCTGGAACAATTATGGTGTAAAAAGGATTGAACGCACTGATGTTTGAACTGGAGCACTGGAACGCTATCAGTAGTGTATGTCACCTCCTTGACAAGATAGCCTCTCTTGAGGTCACACACGGGCACTAGCTGGACACGCTGGGGTCTTGCAGTGGTCATGTCTATCGCTTTACACTTGTATTTACATTTCAATGTCCAGTCTAAAATATCCCCTCTTCTCGGACATTGACCAGGGTTGTCTACTTGAAGCTCGCCTGTCATCCAATTATCAACTTTTTGTGCTTTATCTGCAAAACAGTAGTATCATTGCATCATAATCCAATCTATATCATAGCGTTTATCGAATTATTATTTCGAATCTTATTATAATGTGTTGGGGTTTTTTTTCTTGCTTTTACTGCACGTGAATAAACAATATGTTACAAGTTAAACTAATATTCTATATCAGTGACCGTGCCTTTAATGCATAAAAGTATTCGGGCAACCATTCAAAACAATACATATAATGCATATACTTATTAAACTTAAACCACTTTGCAATAATTATGAAGCAACTTGTTTCACCTTATATTAATTTTAACATTTAAATATATGCAAAACAATTAACATAAATGATGATCACACTTGCGTTACGACGTGAATGTGATTCAGTTTAAAATTAGTTTGATCAGTAATGTCCCTGAAAAGTCATATGTTGGTTTTAACAACATACTTACCATATATTACCAAGGAGTCCGGTTCTTTATCATAATAATGCCGATATACAAAACCCTTTCTCACAACGTGTGTACTATTTCCAAAAAAAACCGAGGCAAACAGTAAACACAGAGACAATATGGACAACCAACATGCGATTCTTTTTGTGGAGTACATCGTACACGAATATGTTTCGAGTTCGCAGCGGTGTATCACTACGAACGTCGTGGAGTACACAGACACTTGTTTCCACACACCTACCCAGTGCCGGATACAGTTGACACTTCAAGTAATTTACAGACGCCAGTCGGTATATTCTCCACCTGTTACACCACGTACACTTTGTGTGGGTGCTGTTCGATTGGACTGTTTAGTCATGCACCGTAAACAAATATCCACCCATTGACATATTCATTGACATAGTGTAGTTTCAAATACCCTGGCCACGAAATCGATGTATTTTCTGCTATAGTGGATAGAATCTGCATTGTTAAATGCCTGTTACTTGATCATTTAACAAGACAATTTGAGTTCACTTAAGGATTGGTTGTCATATTTTTGACGTTTATTGGCGTGTAAACTACATCGGGCTTGCGATATATTGAGTATATTTGATATATTAAATATAATGCAAGCCCGATGTAGTTTACACGCCAATAAACGTCAAAAATATGACAACCAATCCTTATATTTATATTCCAAACTAACAATATTAGTTGTGAAATGTTGCGAGTATTGTAATTGTTGTTTTAAAACTCTTATACACACCGACTGGGTCAGCGGTAAATTGTTCGGAACAGCCGGGTAGTTTCGCATTCCATAGTCGTTGTCAAGGGCAACCAGGCCGACAAAAACAATAAACAAGAAAGTTCCACAGTAAACACATTAATTTAATAATTGATTTTTTTTTTATTTAAATGCATATGTCAATTACAAATTTGTATACTAACATGTGACCATTTAATATATGTTGTGGTCATTTAGCGATTTAACTGTCATACAATAACATTTTAAGACACAACACAGCGGAACATCGCCACTTGGCGGTAATCAGGTCAGAGATCAGCTAGCGGAGGCGGCCATTATTGAAAGTTTTCACTGTTTACCGAAGGTAAATGAATATCCATGAAAGGTAGAATTACTCAAGAAACCTGACGTGAATGAAGGAGAATTAGACTGATATGCAGAAATTGGAGTAGACAAGTGTGATACTGTGCTTTCTGTTAAAACTGTGGTGGGCCTGACTGTGTTTTCCGTTGAAATTATGTATCACTACACTGACCTAATCCCCGTTGTAGTTCATTGGAAAATATGTTACACTGGGACCAGTCTAGGCACTATGCAGTGCAAATGTAAATATTATATAATAAAGTAATCAAAGTACTGAAAGTACTGAAAGCTAAGGCAAAAGATATATATATATATATATATTATTTTTGAAATGGAGAACAAAATAAAGACGAAGTTCTCATCATATTGTACAGAAGGATTTACTGTTAATTTGTTATGAATCATAGTTTTATGTAAAAGTGTACTACTGTGAAGTTATTCTTCTTGTGTGCACAGTATATCTTTATAGGTTTGCCAGAAGAGGGGTACCAAGTTTCCTCTAGAATATATCATTTTAAACCTTTGGATAATTAATTTGCATAGGAATTAGGAATTGCTTCCCTTTGTCAGTACAATGTATTTCATAGAACATTAAAAACTGAATCTGGCATTTACCCCTTAAACCAATACCTGATTATTTTAAACCATTAAATAGATTATGCACAGATTGTGTTCATCTTTGAACTTTGCCTTTGTTGTTGAATAAGATATCAACCAAGTTTCTTCAGAATCTTGCCTTATCTGACAAAGTTACTTGGCAAAAACCATTGACCAATCAGAGTACAGTATGCTAATAAATTATGCATGGATTTCACTCAACTTTGAACTTATCGTCTAAGTTTGTATATTGATCAATATATATTCAAGCAAGTTATCTTGTAAAGTGTGGACATCGACCAGCGTATGCATGCTTTTTAATACGTGTGAATTTTGTTCAAGTTTCAATTTTTCATCAGTCTGTGTATATTGTTACAGAACAATATTTATAAGGATGTTAACTTGCTGAAACTAAATTGTGGATAGACAAGTGAATGACTGCTACCCATACATTTACAAGTCTCTCAATAATTTTGAAAAGCTTTTAAATACAGTGTTTTACATATTCACTGCA